TCCATGCAATGGTAGAAAGAGAGACTAGGAAGAAGTTGAAGTGTCTTCGCACAGACAATGGAGGCGAGTACACTTCCAATGCTTTTGCAGCATACTGTGCCAGCAGAGGTATCCGGCACGAGACAATAGTTCCCGGCACCCCACAACACAATGGTGTGGCAGAAAGGATGAATTGCACTATTATGGAAAGAGTCAGATGTATGCTCAAAATGGCAAAGTTGCCAAAGTCATTTTGGGCTAAAGCTGCCCGTACAGCCTGTTATCTCATCTACAGGTCGCCTTCAGTCCCGTTGAGCTTTGCGATACCTGAGGAAGTCTGGTCTAGAAGAAAGGTATCATATTCTCACTTGAGAGTCTTCGGGTGTAAGGCCTTTGTACACATCTCCAAGGAAAACAGATAGAAGCTTGATGACAAGTCCACTCCATGCATATTTGTGGGGTATTCAGATGCAGCATTTGGGTACAAGGTATGGGACCCAGTGAACAAGAAGATGTTCAGGAGCAGAGATGTTGTGTTCCAAGAAGACCAAACAGTAACAGATTTTGAGAAATCTGCAAAGTCTAGAGATGTCATCACTCCAGACTTGTTTCCATCAGACAATGAGTTACCAGACTTATGGCACAAAAGACTGGCTCACGTGAGTGAGAAAGGATTGCATCTGTTGGTGAAGCAATCTAGGATACCCTTGTCCAAGGGTAATGCTCTTAAGCTGTGTAACCATTGCCTATATGGCAAGAACATCGAATATCATTTAGTTCAATGAGCAAGAAGAAAACAAAAGTACTTAGTATGGCCTACTCAGATGTTTGTGGTCCCACAAAAATGGAGTCACTTGGCGGCCGCAAGTATTTTCTGACTTTCATTGATGATGCATCATGAATGTTATGCGTGTATTTCCTGAAGACAAATGATGAGATATTTCAATACTTTCAGGAGTTCCATGCGATGGTGGAAAGAGAGACCAGGAAAAAGTTGAAGTGTCTTTGCACAGACAATTGTGGCGATTACACTTCCAATGTTTTTGAAGCATACTATGCCAGTAGAGGTATCTGACATGAGACAACAGTTTCTAGCACCCCACAATACAATGGTATGGCAGAGAGAATGAACTGGACTATTGTTGAAAAAGTTAGATGCATGCACAGAATGGCAAAATTGCCAAATTCATTCTAGGCTGAAGTTGCCCGTACATCCTATTATCTCATCAATAAGTTGCCTTCAGACCCGCTAAATTTTGTGGTACCTGAGGAAGTCTGGTCCAGAAGAAAGGTATCATATTCTCACTTGAGAGTCTTCGGGTGTAAGGCCTTTGCACACATCTCCAAGGAAAACAGATAGAAGCTTGATGACAAGTCCACTCCATGCATATTTGTGGGGTATTCAGATGCAGCATTTGGGTACAAGGTATGGGACCCAGTGAACAAGAAGATGTTCAGGAGCAGAGATGTTATGTTCCAAGAAGACCAGACAATAGCAGATTTTGAGAAATCTGCAAAGTCTAGAGATGTCATCACTCCAAACTTGTTCCCATCTCCCGAGCCATCACAACATGCTAGATGTGATGATGTGCAACAAGAAATGCCAGAATTGCAGGATCTTATGCCAGAAATTGAGGATCAAGAAGAAAGAGATGAAGACCCGGATAAAGACGGTGTTGAGCAGGGGAGCAAACCCTCAAACAGAGGCAACTGGGCCTTAGTTGCGGAGATCTGGAAGAGCTGCTGTGTCATCAACCAAATATCCTGCTTCTCAGTATATTCTGATTACTGATGAGGGGGAGCCCGAGAGTTTTTCGGAAGCCAAGAGTCATACAGAGAAAGACTGTTGGATGCAAGCCATGAAGGAGGAGATGTGTTCTTTTCAGAAGAACCACACTTATGAGCTTGTTCCACTTCCAAGAGGCAGGAGAGCCTTGAAGAACAAATGGGTATATAAGTTGAAGAAAGATGGAAACAGTAAACTATTGCAGCATAAAGCTCGTCTGGTGGTCAAAGGCTTTGGGCAGAAGAAAGGAATTGATTTTGATGAGATCTTCTCCCTAGTTGTGAAGATGGCTTCTATTCGAGTAGCTTTGGGATTAGCAGCTCGCTTGAATCTGGAAGTAGAACAAATGGATGTGAAGACTGCCTTTCTCCATGGTGAGTTGGAGGAAGAGATCTACATGGAGCAACCAGAAGGATTTGAAGTTAAAGGAAAACAGAAACTAGTCTGCAAACTGAAGAAGAGTCTCTACGGCCTGAAACAGGCGTCGAGACAATGGTACAAGAAGAGTAGCTTTGGGATTAGCAGCTCGCTTGAATCTGGAAGTAGAACAAATGGGTGTGAAGACTGCCTTTCTCCATGATGAGTTGGAGGAAGAGATCTACATGGAGCAACCAGAAGGATTTGAAGTTAAAGGAAAACAGAAACTAGTCTGCAAACTGAAGAAGAGTCTCTACGGCCTGAAACAGGCGTCGAGACAATGGTACAAGAAGTTTGATTCATTTATGGTGGATCACGAGTACACAAGAACGGTGGCAGACCAGTGTGTATGTTTTCGAAGGTTTCCGGATGGAAACTTCATTATCCTACTGTTGTATGTCGATAATATGCTGATCATTGGACATGATACTACTATGATCAACAAGTTGAAAAAGGACTTGTTGCAGTAATTTGACATGAAGAATTTAGGCCCAGCACAACAAATTTTGGGCATGAAGATTGTTCGTGACAGGAAAGCCAAGAAGATATGGCTGTCATAGGAGAAATATGTTGAACGAGTAATTGAAAGGTTCAACATGAAAGATGCCAAGCCAGTCAACACACCACTGGCCAACCATTTCAATATGACAAAGTGTTCGTGTCCCACGACCAGCTCTGAAAGGAAAGAAATGGAGGCAATCCCTTATTCTTCCGCAGTAGGAAGTTTGATGCATGCAATGGTGTGTACCCGGCCAGATATAGCTCACGCAGTTGGTGTTGTGAGTAGATTCCTCGCCAATCCAGGAAAGGAGCATTGGAAGGTCGTCAAATGGATTCTTCGGTACTTGAAAGGAACTTCAAAGATATGTTTATGTTTCGGGGGAGCTGAACCAATTTTGGAGGGTTTTACAGATGCCGATATGGCTGGTGATCTTGATGGTAGAAAGTCTACATCAGGATTTCTGTTCACCTTTGCAGGGGGAGCTATTTCATGCAGTCCAAACTATAAAAGTGTGTTGCTTTATCTACAACAGAGGCAGAGTACATTGCTGCCGCAGATGCTGGAAAGGAAATGTTGTGGTTAAAGTGGTTTCTCCAAGAATTGGGTCTACAGCAAGAAGAATACAAGGTACATTGTGATAGTCAAAGTGCAATTGATTTGGGCAAGAATTCCATGTACCATTCACGTACAAAACACATTGATGTCCAGTATCATTGGATACGAGAAGTGATGGAAAAGCAACTGATGAAGCTAGTAAAGATTCACACAGACAAGAATCCTTCTGACATGATGACCAAGGGTGCCACCAGAGACAAACTGAAAGTTTGCAAGCATCTGACCGGAATGGACTTCAAGTGAGAAGTCAGTTGTCCATGTGGGCATGGAGGTTAAGAATTGTTGGCTCCATCCACTACCCATATGGTAAGGAGCCCACAATCCACATGGTATGGGTGGCAGCATGTGGTAAAGGAAGCTGGTGGGGCAATACCAACTCACCAAAGGTAGATGGTGAGGGTGGCACAACCAAGCCCACTCATGGTTGTCACTTCACCTACTCCTCTTCACTCGGTTATAAATTGACATGAGTGAGGAGGGGTTGTAGAGAGACATATGGGAGTGACACACTGAGCTGAGAATACACAGAGGAGAGTATAATCTGTGAGTAAGAGTTCTATAGAGAGTTGTGAGGTGTGAGTTCTGTAATCTCCCTTCGAAATAATTCTATAGTGGATACCTCTCCGTGGACGTAGGCAATTGCCGAACCACGTAAATATTCTTGTGTTATTGTATGGAATTGATTTCTAGTGTCCCATAGTCCTAACATTTGCAACAACTGTAGTATGAGTAGAGATAGAGGATGGTGGTGCCCAATGTAGTATTTATAGATGCTCATGAGAGAGGAGTTGCATTATGTAGAGAAAAAGCAGTTAACCAACCAAGACACCCCATCCTTACCCAAATAAATCCAAGTCTCAATAGGTATACAATTTGGTCCTAATATGTTACCTAATTTAATCTGCTTTAGTGTAAAATTCACGGCAGACTCCATTTTTTACGATAAAATTTTATTCTCTAGTTCCATCAATGCTAGGAATGCTGTTTCCAATACTACCCTAGTCAAAAGTGCTTATACATTTATGCTTCGTTTGATTTAGCAGAAAGCATTTTCCCAGGAAAACTATTTTTAGGAAAATGTTAGGTTTGATGCAAAAAACATTTTAGTGCTTGGTTGTGACGCTGAAAGTATTGGTGCTGGTGGTTGTGGTACTTGTGTGGGTGGAGTTGCGGTGATGTGGTTGTGACGGTGATGGCATTGTGGTGGTGTTGGTATGACTTTGGTATGTCTCATTAGGCCCGAAAAATGTTTTTCACCTTCAAAATGGAAAATCATTTTCCACACAAGTTCATTTTCCATTGACCATGAAAAAAGTTTTCCATTGTACTAAAGCCTTGTTTGGCATAACCTGTTTTAGTTTATCTTTTTATTTTTTTTAAGTCACATCAATCAACATCTTCTCTCTACTTTTCTACACATTTTTTTTTATAAAAAGTCAAAAAGTGCACTTATTTAGGACATTCCAAACCACCCTTAAATATTAGAAAATGTGGAAGTGCTTTCCACCGAAACAAATGGAGCATTATTATATAGCAAAAGCAAGTGTTGCATATTTATTTAGTTCATAGAAAGTTACAATTTCTGGTGTTGCCTGGTAAGAGTTTTTCATGTATGAGGAACATTTCAAGGCTTGATAAAGTTGGCCTGTAGTGATGCAAAGCTCTGTGAGAAATATTTGGACAGAAAATAGTGGATCATACCTGTAATGCCCATGCCATATAATTGATATACGACATTGGGTAGCGCCAAAATGGCTTGGGAAGATCAGGCAAGAATCGAAAGAACCCGGCTGTCATCATCATAACTCCCTGCAAACAAAGGTATGGTTATGAACTAAGATTCTGAAAATGATGAAAATAAAATGATGATTGAGATGGAAAAAGAAGCTCATAAAACGTTTAGGAATTAGCCTTGCTTACAATGATTCCAGCCCCGGTTATGAGTCCCATCAAGAAGTTGGGAACGAGTGAAGCCACAACCATCATGCAACTCTCAATGACGGCGATGGAGCTCACAAGGTCAAGGCACGTATAGGCAAAATGTGAGAAGCCAGGTCGGAACTTCACCATGTGATAAATAATAGTAGCGGTACTAAGTGACATTGCAATCAAGAATGGAAATGAAGATATGAAGTTTGAAATGACATACGCGCCGACTCCGTAATGACCGTTGAGTCTCTCTTTGTAGAAAATCTGTTTTAAGCAAAGTTGTTAAAATTGGGATCTTATCTAGGATTGTTGAGAGGGACTTGTGAATTAGATTGTAGAAATAGATCAAGGATTTTAAGGTTTTACTTTCATTGCGAAAAATGGTTGATAATGATAATATATGTTTAAGTAGGGCTACAAACGAGACGAGACAAGCCGAGCTCTGCTGGGCTTCAGGTTGGCTCGTTTGCTTCTTGAGCTCGTTTGTTGAGCTTGAGCTCGGCTCGATAAGTAACTGAGCTCGAGATTGACTTGGCTAGTTAATATTAATGAAACTCGAGCTTGACTTGGCTTTGCTCGATAAGATTTTTTTTAATGTTATTTAAATAAAAAATATTATTAATATTATTTAATATATAAATAATGTATTTTTACTATTATTTATATATATTTATATATTATTTAATATGTAAATAATATATTTATTATATAATTTAAATAAAGATAAGTGTGCTGAACTTGACAGCTTATTTGAGCTCGAGCTCGTTTACTAAACGAGCCTAATATCCGAGCTCGAGTTTGGCTCGTTTACTAAATGAGTCGAGCCTTTAACAAGCCGAGCCAAACTTGTTCATGAATAGCTTGTTTCATTTGCAGCCTATGCTTAAGTAATTTTAAAATCATAAAAGAAAAATGATGAATTTGATATAATGCATCTAATATGCTATAAGATAAATTAGAGAAGACACTTGGAAATGAAGTTTATGATCAAATTTTTTCTATAGTGCATATACATATATAAGAAATAAATGATTTGGAAAAATTTAGTAGGATTGGGATTGTACTACAATTCTACACCATTTATGACTATGATCATAGTCATTTTAAGATTCTATAAAATTTAAGATTCTAGTGCGATCTATATTATTTGGCCCAATTGGAATAGTTGAATCCTAAGATGCTAGGATCGGTATTGGGATTTTAATAACGACGGTTTCAAGAATATGAAAACAAAAGCATCGAAAGCTCAAGATGAGAATTACCAAAGTATCGAAACCAATTGAGTTTATTTACCTTCATTTCTTCAATGAAAGATGGGAAGCCTCCAATGGACATGAAGATCATGAAACCTGATATAAATCCACCGCATGATGCGCGCGCCAAGATCGCAGAGTAGCTGGTGCCAACATTGAAAAAGATGGAACCAACAGATATAGATACAACTATGTATGTGATTATCCTCAGCCAATAATATCCAACATCCCTAGACATGTTTATGAATGATCTTTTTGTTAAAGTTGATAGTTGCTTGCACCATGTTGCCTGGCTTCCAGTTTTTGTTTCCATCACAAGTCCTTCCTGCAACAATGGGTTATTTGATTATGTTTTTGTTTTCAATTTTCATTTTTCATGTTTTTGGAAACAAAAATAATGAGAAGTTTGAAAAACATAGTTTTCAATTTTGTGCAAAAATAGTTTTTGAAAATTCGAAAACAACATTTTGGTGTTTCCTGAAAATGAGTTGTTTTCAAAATTGTTTCCCACAAACAAGTTTTTTTTTCTCCTCAAAATGAAAACAGAAGGTGAAAAGATGCAAGAAAGGGGTTCATTTAGAACCATCAGTCGAGTATGAAATGCTTACAATAGTTGAGATTTCTTGAACCCTAGCTCTGGCTCTGGCTGCATGCTTTGAGCATTTGTATTTCTTAACCAGCATGCTTCTGATCTCTGCTGTTGCCAAATTCATCATAAGGCTTGATGATTTTTCTGTTTCCTGTGATTTGGAAACAATAAACAAATGAGTCAGAAATTTGAATTTAGAATAAAAATTAAAAACTATAAAGTGAATTCAAGGAGGAAAAGGTTAGAAATTGAAGGGTGCATTTGGGCATGTGTTTCGGTTAAAAAAAAAAAGTCAACAAAGATTAGGGCATAAATTTTGCTAGATGAAACTATGCTAGTATGTATGTGTGTCAAAAAGGGTGACACAATGCATGAAGTTTTCGATAAAATGTAGTCTGGGGACAGTAAGATGCCTAGTGTCCAAATGGCAAGAAAGGAAGGAAAATGAAAAGAAAAACTAGTTTCCTTTCTAGTGTGGTGCATATCTTGTAGAAGTGTTTGGATAAAAGATTTGGAGTTTTTTTATAAAAAATGAAAGGAGTATCATGGAAAAATTGTAGGTCTTACTAATTATTATTGTTTTCTTGAAGGAATCGCTAATGCTTCTCTCAAATCATTTTCAGTAAAAAAGACATTATGCATTGAGGAAAAGTTCAAATCATATTTGAACATAAACTTTCTTGTGAATCGAGGAAAAATGCATTATATTTGTTTATTTTTTCATTTCCTTCAATCCATTTTTTCAGGAAACATTTTCCTATACAATATAATATTCTTGACAATTGAACGAAGCCTAGGGTGCTGACGGCAAACCTTCATGTGATAATGTCAATGATCTTGTAGTCATTAGGGTTGCAAACGACCCGAGCCGAGCTTTGCTGAGTTCAAGCTCGGCTCGTTTACTTATCAAGCTCGTTTATAGAGTCCGAGCTTGGCTTGATAACTAACTGAACTCGAACTCAGCTCGTTAATATTAAAGGAACTCGAGCATGGCTCGGTTTGGCTTGATAAATTTTTTATTATTATTTAAATAAAAAATATTATTTATATATTATTTAATATATAAATAATATATTTAATATATAATTTAAATAAATATAAACGAGCCAAGTTTATTCGAGCTAACATTTTCCTATACAATATAATATTCTTGACAATTGAACGAAGCTTAGGGTGCTAACGGCAAACCTTCATGTGATAATGTCAATGATCTTGTAGTCATTAGGGTTGCAAACGACCCGAGCCGAGCTTTGCTGAGTTCAAGCTCGGCTCGTTTACTTATCAAGTTCGTTTATAGAGTCCGAGCTTGGCTTGATAACTAACTGAACTCGAACTCAGCTCGTTAATATTAAAGGAAATCGAGCATGGCTCGGTTTGGCTTGATAAATTTTTTATTATTATTTAAATAAAAAATATTATTTATATATTATTTAATATATAAATAATATATTTAATATATAATTTAAATAAATATAAACGAGCCTTGCCGCTCGTTTAAACAAGTTGAGCCGAGCCGAGCCGAGCTGAACCCTTAATAAGCCAAGCTGAGTCAGCTCGCGAACAACTTGATACATTCGCAACTCTAGGTCATATAAAAGGAAGAAAACGATGTTTTTGAAAATTCTTTGCATGTATGAATGCAAAATTAAAACATTACCCTAAGCTTTAAGGAATTATTAGGAAAAGTTATTAGAGTTAAATTAAGCCGAAACAAACACACACACATACCGGTATTCTATGTGATTCGATGAGAGAGGCAGTGACATTGTCGAAGTCTGAGTTTATACAACGTAGGAAGTGATCTGAAGGGCTTCTTCTACTCGGACACGGGTAACCCACCTCCGCAAAGAACTGTCAAAGTTAGGATTTCAGAAAGCGAAAACACGACCAAATTAGACAAAGAATAAGCATTCAAAATAGAGAAGTTTCAAACACTTTCGAATATTCTATACCTCTACTGCCATCTTTGCTTCTCCAAAGTAAACGGTTTCACCCCCAGATATCAAGAAAAGGTCATCAAACAACGCAAACACTTCACTACTCGGCTGATGAATCGAAGATATAACTGTTCTGCCATCGTGCGCAATGTTTCTGAGGATTTGAGTCACGAAGAAGGCGGAGGCGCTGTCAAGGCCGCTAGTGGGCTCGTCAAGAAACAAGAGATGGGGCCTTGTAAGGATTTCGAGTGCAATGCTGAGTCTCTTCTTCTCCCCACCACTTATGCCTCTCAAATGCCAGTTTCCGATGAGGTGATCAGCACAATCTTGAAGTCCCATTTCAGTGAGTGTTCCTTCTATGATACCATTTATCTTTTCTTTGCTCATGTTTTTGGTTGGTAGCCTCAAATGGGCTGAGTACGTGATGGTTTCTCTCACTGTTAGACTTCCTAACAGTATATCTTCTTGGGTTACATAAGCCTGTAATCCCAACATTTTAAAACATAAAATAAAATTATATAAGCAAATAAAAAGAATGTGAAATCTAGTTATAGAATTAAGAATTTATTGAAATTGAAGAGAGTTCATCAGGCCAAAAAAAAAAAAAAAAAAAAAGTTAAAAGACAGCTTTTTTATTATTATTATTTACTTATATTTTATTTTTTTGAACTTGTTTTTATTTCAAGTAAATTTTTTTTACTTTTTTTTTGTTTGTGTGTGTGTGTGTCCGCCTTGACTAGATAATTCTAAAAATTAAAAGAAAATTTAGTTAATTTTAAAAATATTTCACTAAAAGCAAAAATAAATCCAATTTTATCAAAAAAAAAAACAAAAACAAAAAGTTGATAGAAACTGGCTTATTTTGTCTTTTTTGATCTTTTTAATAAAAAATCTAATTTTAATTTTTTTTTTAGGATCATAAAAAGTAAAGTCCTTGGAGTTTATTTTTAGAAAAATAACTCCCAAAAAAGTCTAAAAGCCTATAATAACAGTTCTATAAAAAGTGATGTTGAATCTATTGTGTGTCCGTTTGTCTTGTTTTTCTATTCTAAATTACTTTCTCTACCGTAGTAATTGTGTAGTAGATAAGTGGTTTGAGACCAAAAAATAAAGGAGCGATATGAACTAGGCATCCCAATTAGGGGGCGGAGAGAGGGCATGGCCAGAAAGGGCTCTGGTTCCTCCAAAATAATTGAAAAAATGCCTACTTACTTTGGCCCTGTTTGGTAGAACTTATAAGCAGTTTATTTCAGCTTTTAATTTAATTTAAACTAAAAACATGTGTTTGGGTTAACTTATTTCATCAACTTATAGCTTAAACGAAGCTAATTTTTAACTTATTTGGAAATTGGGTCTGGGGATGCTTAAGTTTATAACTTAAACGCGCAGCTGCATATTGGGTGCTAAAATGACTTAAATGCCCCTCCTAATCTCCATTATTTACGAAAATGCCACTATATATAAATCACATGTCAACACTGTTCACGAACCAGAGAGAGACGAAGGCGATTTCAGGCGTGTGCGGGCGATTTTCGGCGTCACCGTCACGATCGATCCACACCGTTGCAAGCTGAAGCCAGAGCTCACTGTCGTGTCACATCTTAAAGCAGAGCTCTCTCCCTCTCTCTCTGCGCTACATCCATGGCACCGGTCGATCTCGGGTTCGTCGCCATCGCCATCGCGAAGCTCTGTCTGTCTGTCTATCTGTCTCTCTCTCTCTCCGGCGTTGGTTTGTCGCCATCACGATCTGAACCAACGCCGTTGTTGATCTGAACCATCGCGATCTTAAACCCTAGCGTCGGTCGTCGCCCCTATGCTACCGGAGCTAGGGTTTTCAAACCCTTGAAAATAAATTGAAAAAAAAGAAAAAAAACAAAAAAATCAATATTAATATTAATTAAAAAAGAAAAAATTACTTTTCAGAATTAATAAAAACAAAATTAATATTTAATATGAAAAAAATTTAAAAATTACTTTTCAGAATTAATATTTAACACAATTTATTTCAATTAATATTTACTTTTCATAATTAAAAAAATTACTTTTCAGAATTAATATTTACTAAAAATGAAATATTACTAAAAATAATTAAAATGAATAATAATAATAATAAATTGGAAAAATTGATACATTAATATAAATTAGAACATGAATATTAATTTTAATGAATTAATATATTAAAAAAATTAACAAAGAAAGAAGAGAAGAAGAAAAAAATTTAAAAAGAAAAGAAAATAAGGTGAAAAAGAAAATAAAATAAAATAAAATGAAAAAGAAAATGAAAAAAATGTATTATAAATGAAATCATAAATTTTATATCTTGTAAGGGCAAAAATGAAAATTATACAGAAAAAAGCTATTTTACAGTTTATTTACCAAACACTACTCTACTGCTTAAATTCATAATCCCACAGCTGCACCAAACAACTTACCAACTTTAGCGTGGAGAGGAAGGGTAAAGTGTTATGAATTTTTGCAAAAAGTTGGAGTGTTGAGCCCAAATGCTTCTTCTCTCTGTGTGTTTTGTAAATCTGAGGTGGAGACTGTTAATCATGTGTTTATTCACTGCCATTTCACTTGGAAATTGTGGGCCAACTTGGTGAACTGGTGGAATTACAAATGGGTTAGCCCTGGATCAGTGGAGGGTTTATTGCTGTCATGGCCAGAGATAAAAATGAAGAAGAAGATGCTAACAGTTTGGAAAACACTGCCGGTAGCAGTAATGTGGTCAGTGTGGAGAAGCAGAAACGACTGTGTATTTAACAAGGTGCAACCGGATTGGACTGCTTTGGCAGAGCTAATAAAGGTGAGAGTAGCGTTGTGGGCTTCCTCAGCTTTAAAGGGGATTAATTATTCGGTGCATGACATTATATACAATCTGAGTCAAGTCTGTTATGGTGTGTAGTTAAGTGATGGTTTTGCATAAGTGCTGTGTATGAGTTGTTAAGTGATGGTTGTTTTGTCTGCTGTGCTTATTCTGATCTGTTGAGGAGATGGCTATGTGTTCAGTAGGCTTCTGACCTGTTTGATTTAAGCTGGTGTATTATGAGCTAAATTGGGCTGCTGTAAGTAGTTTGTTCCTGAAGCAGTGTTGTGATGAACTTGATGTGCTGGGATGCGTCTGTCTTGGGATGGCCTGGTTCTGCTCAGTTTAGCATAGTCTGCTGATGGCAAGAGGTGTAGTCTGAGTTTATCTGCTGGGCATTTGGTCTGAAATCTGTCTTCATTCAGTGAGGTATTCAGCCTGTTGCAGGCCATGGTATGCTCTCAGAATTAGCAGGGGAGGATGATTCAGAGGAGATTCAGCAGTATGTACAGAGGACTGCTTTCTTGGTCTGTATAGAGGAGGGTGGTTCAGAATTGCAGTGTGCTCTAGGTCTGTGCAGAGGAGCGTGTTCTTGGTCTGTGCAGTGGAGTGTGTTCCTGGGGGCTAATTCACCTTGAATCTGGTTTGGGTTGGACTGAGTAGGATGCAGATGGAAGGCTGCAGCTCTGTGTTGTTTTGTATTTGGTACTCTGCTTTGGTGCATAGGATTTGGCTCTTACCAGCTGTGTATACCAGTTCGTTCTTTGTTCCTTTTAGTTTAGTCTATCTGTTAACTTGCTTCTTTTCTTGTTCTCTCTTGTTGGTTCCTCACTAGCTGGCGCTTGGTACTTTTTAGCACCAAGCTCCTCTTTATTGATGTAATATTGCTCTATGTATGTTTCATCAATAAAGATTTAACTTTGCCGATCAAAAAAAAAAAAACTTTTGTAACAAACTAAATTTTTAATTTAAACACTACTCTACTGCTTAAATTCATAATCCCACAGCTGCACCAAACAACTTACCAATTTATGTTCACAGCTGTAAGTTATAATCTGTTAAGTTGTAATCTATAATCAATTTTCCACAGCTCTACTAAACGGGGCCATTATATGATTCAATGAAACATTTAGTTATTGGCCCATTGAAAAATTGAAAAAATTAATAATAAATAAAAACTAAAACTTTAGGTCCTCCCAAATTTTTATTTTATTTTATTTGACTGTTGTCTAAATCCAACAATTCTAGCTCCACGCCTGATCTCAATGGCCCATAAACACACAAAGCTAACAAAATTTTTGATAATCTTTGTTTGGATGTGGATTTGAAACAATAGATGTGCAACATTTGTTTCTGCATATATATATATATATATATGTATCTATGAAAGTGTATGTATCCATGTAATTATTAATATATAAAGATACTTACAGCAACACCATAGTGAAGACTCCTCTTCTTGCCATTAAGGAGAACATTGCCAGTCATGATAACATTTCCTGAGAGTCTACCTGTATTTACTACTGCCAATGTCAGTCCCTCTCTTTGCTTATGCATTCATTTTTCATTCATAAATGCATCAATAACTTCTCTACATATTTATAATAATAGGACACTAACATATTTTAATTGACAACAATGATTTAGACCACTAATTTTGGTACTCTAATGGAGCACTAATGACATGACAATGAACAAAAAAAAAAATAAGAACAAATCAAAACCAAAACATCACATCACTGTGAGTGGAGCCCACTGCCAACTCATTAGAGCTACCTTTAGAGCTCAAAAATTAGAGCTCCAAAGCATTTTTCTTTAATTGATTAGGTCCCTTAATAGATCAACAAAAAGGCCTCGAATTTGAGGCTCGAATTTGCCTCGAAATCAATTTTTTTTTTCTTTTCTTTTCTTCCAAAGCTGTTTTAGTTTGGTTTTTTTTTTTAATTTTTTTTTCTCTCTTTTCTTTATAAGGGTGATTATGTATAAGGATGTACTAAAAAATTAGACATTTTGTAAGTGAGTTGGGTTGGACTGATTGGGTAATAAAATTGACTGATCAATTTTTTTTTAATTTTATTTTATTTTATTTGTTAGGTTGTGTTGGTTTTTTTTTTTTTTAAATTTTTTTTAAAGGGTGTGCCAAAAAACTAGACATCCTATACTAATTCATCGTGCAAAATTATATGAAATTAACGAATTTTAACCAATAGTCTAACTGATCAGTCAATTAAGTTGGACTGGTTAAGTGATAAAATTGACTGATTAGTTAAACTGTTGGTTAAATTTTGTTAAACTATTGGTTAAATTTTGTTAATTTCATATAATTTTATATGATGAATTAGTGAAAAATGTATAATATTTTATATTAGACTTACAAAAAAAAGAAAAAAACTAAACTAACTAACACAGCAGCCCAAGAAAAAAAAAAAAACCGAGCCAAATTCGAGTCCTCGAATTCGAGGCCTCTATCACTATTGATAGATCAAAGATGGGCCTTTTATTCTTACCCCATGTTGTTGCAGAGCATTGAAAGTGAAGCTTGAAAATACTTGGTTTTGCATTCACATTAGTAAAACATTAGTTTGGTTTTGCATTAACAAAAGAAAGTGATAGCAAAAGTGATTTCATTTCTAAATTTCTGTCTCTAAAATATTAATATGTTGTATGAATAGATGTGTCCATATATATATATTTATGCAGTGATTGTATTATGTATTTATTGAATGCACTATATGTATTTAAATTCATGCTTCTTTTTCTGTACAAACTTTTGGAGCAAAAGAGAAAACATGAGATAGTCCACTTGTATTATTGTAAGACAGATGAAGTGAACCTATTACTATTAGTTGCTTACTTTCAAAAGTAGTTTCGAGGATATGGAAACTATTGTTATGATTTTAACTTTGGAAGGCAAGGGTATATATAACCCAAAAATTTGTAATAAATGTGTGAAATGTAATATCAATTTTTATTGATACAAAACAATCTAAATAGATGTGTATTTTTTTAAAGGAAAATTTGTTGAGAAATCATATCTAAGGAAATGTATGATATTAGATCCAAGAATGGTTTTGTTTTGGTTATAAAGACATGATTAATGAAGGATATTATTATTTTGAATGATAATTTTTTTAATTTTTTTTCATTCACTGTGACTAGACTAGTCACCAGAAAAGTTATCGAAGGTGGGCAGCTGGTTGTAGTGGTGATGATATGGACAAATAAGTAGATTATGTGGATTAATAGGTAATACTGGATATATAGGTAGATAAATAGGTAAAATAATAGGTAGATAGATAGATAGATAGATAGATAGTTAATGGTAATATGATATTTCAAATTATTATTATTCTTATAACCTTAAAAGATTAAGGTCTCATTTGGGAACATGCTAATTTAGTAATTTTTTGACTATTTGGCTAAAATATGAGCTAAAAAAAACTAGTATGTTTGGGATAACTTTTTGACTTTTTGCGAAAAGATGTGAAAAAAGTAGAGAGAAAAGAGAATCTTTGACTTTTTGGTATGGATTGTTGACTTTTTAGCTAATTTAGTAACTTTTTGACTAAAATGTTCGGTTGCCAAACGAGGCCTAATACTTGAAAAAGATTTGACAAAACATAATGCATATGGACGTCCATAGAGTTCAATTATCAACAATGCTACGTTGACAAAACATTCTTTGCGAAAATTATTTCCAAGTCTTTTTTGGTCGTTTAGTCGGTCAACCTTAAACTTTTCTAGTCGTCTTTTATAAGATTTAAGTGATATGTTACTAACATTTGGTTGAAGGATAGGTGTGGGATTGTTTTGGTGCTTGTCTGACCAAAGAGTAGGTGCAGATGAAAACATTAGTGAAGATATCTGATAGTAAAAGCCATCTCTATGGAGCAAACAACTTGGGTTAATATATCTACTCTAATTAATATCCTGGAGTAGAGGACTGCTGTTTATTATATATTCTAGATTTTTCAATAAAAAAATAATCACTGGGTTATAGCTCAATTTTTTACTTTTAAAGGGTTACAGCTCAATTCTACTGTCCTTTACTATACTGGATCAGAAAGAAACAGATTTTTCTAGTTGCACAGCCTGAACATGTTATTTTAGTATTTTTTTTTTGTTTTTTAACTAAAATATGAAGTAAAAAAAATTAGTATATTTGAGATTTTTTTTTATTTTTTTACGAAAAACGTGCAAAAAAGTAGAGAAATGATTTTTTTTTTTTTATATGTGTGTGTATAATTTGACAAGTTTTTAATTTTTTTAATAATTTTTTGACTTTTAGACTAAAATCAACCCTTCCTAAACGACAGTCCACCTTTTCCTTATCTGTGATTTTTTGTAATCTATTTTTATTTTATTTTTTTGTATATTACTATTCTAATTTAAAAATTAGATTTGCTGTTCAAATTCAATGATATGACAATTAATTAGAATATCTCAAGCATCTCTCTCATATTTTCTTTTAAGTATCAATTAATCATCTTACTTACACACTATTGGATCTAAAAGGTATATTTGTATATTATTTTTATTTTTTATTTTGTCTGGGTGGACCTAATTCTATATAGCTAGTTTTTTTTTTTTTAAAATATATACATATATATATATATACTTGAGTTGAGATTGGTCAACAGCAAGGCCTTTTTCTTTTTTTTGTCAAACGAAAACGAGAAATTGAGAATTGTGTAATTGTTTTCCCTTTTCTTTTCTTTTCCTTTCCTTTTTTTTTTTTTTTTTTTTTGGTGGTTGTTTAAAATAATCGAAATAGCTTTTCAAATAATTGTTTAAATCAATTTTTGCTTTTTTATTTTTGGAAAAAAATGACAATACCAAACACATTTAAACAATAAATGAACATAAAAACAAAATATTAAAACACAACCTAATAGATTTTTAGGCTTTGAGCATCCGGCTTCACCACTACTACTACTACTCTCTCTCTCTCTCTCTCTCTCTCTCTCTCTCTCTCTCTCTCTCTCTCTCGACACTTCATAATTCCGGATAAATTCTTTACCATATTTTTATTAATTCAGATCTGTACCAATAATCCGAACCATCTATTTCATAAGTTTTATAATAAAAATCATCCATAAAAGAAAATAAGTTTCATCAAAAAATTATGAACTTTAGAAAAAAATAGCATTTGATGTTATAAAATGAACGACAAATGTTATTGTGAACTTAAATAATCAATTTTTATAAAATAAAATGTTTTTGTTTATGTTTTTATAATTTTTCTATGAAATTCATTTTTTATATGGATGACCTTTATTACAAAAGAGACAATTAAGATTATAAATATGGGTTCGAATTGGGGCTACAAAAGGGATACGGAGAGGTATGAAAAAATGAAGGTACAGAGGGAGCCTAAAAATAAGTACATTTTTTGATTTTTTAGGAAATGATGTATAAAAAAATAGAGAGATAATATGACTAAAAAAGGATAAAAAATGCACTTTTTTTAATACACCCCAAACCTACAGGGTAATAGTATCAAATGCAAATGCCTAATTTTAAAGGTTGCTGTGTAATTTCATAAAAAAACAAAGGAAGAATTATTTAATAATTGGATAGAGGAAAAAAAAAACAACACAAATATGGAAGGATTTTCACATGTATCCCTTATACCGTTCATGTTTTTGGTTTGAATTTTAGAAAAACATTTCAGAATGCTTTTTGAAAAAATGAAAACTAATTTGATAAAAATAAATATTTAAAAAATATTTTTTAATTTTTAAAAATTATTTCTGATCTTTCAAAAGATAAAATTATTAAAAAATAATGAGTGTTTTTTTTAAATTTTTTTTATTCTGAAACAAATTTTTGAAAATTAGTACCATCTGGAGTTTTATTTTTTTTTTCCCAAGAAACTCATGTTATGATGATACCCATGGTACTAGTACACCTCTTTTTGAGTTCTGCCCACGGTACACGGAGGGGAGTGGAAAAGTATCCATCACTTCAAATTACCAGGATTGACAACAATGCTACGTCTCACTAAAAGTAGTGCTTTAAAGCACCACTAATGAGTTGACACTTACTTTTTTTTAAAAGAAAAAAAACAAGGCACAAAAACATTGTAGCAGTGAGTCCCACCCACTACCACATCATTTGTGGTAGCACTAATTAATGCTCCACTCATTTTCCCAGGATTGGAAGGTTAGTCAAATTGGTTGTATTTTTTATTTTTTATCAACAAAGAAAAAAAAAATATTATTGATGAAATTTAAAATATACTAAGGCTTCGTTTGGGAAGATAGGTTGTGGATTTTTTTTTGGCTATTTTAGCCACAAAAGACAAAATAGGCTATTTTAGCCACAACAAACAAAACATCACATCCAACACATAATCATTACACCCTTCTCTCACAAAAAAAGTCAAAAAAGTCAAAAGTCAAAAATTCCTTTCATAAACCAAGCTTTTTAGCCCAGGTTAAAATAACCAAAAAAATCAAAAAGATAAAAATTTAACTCACTTCCCAAGCTAACCCTTAACAGCATATTAAAATAAAAAATCCAATCTCATTATTGTGTTCCACATTTTTGAGTAAAAAACTTTTTCAAGAGATGCTTTATCAATAGTGTCCAACGGACAGGTCGGCCCCGAGGACAGGTAAGAGAGGCCTGTGTCTTGGATCTCTAAATTTGGGTTAAAAATAAGGATTTCAAATATAATTTTGTATTTTAGATATAAAAGGAAGCTCAAATATTATAGGCCTAATTGAACATAAGACCTAAAAAAAGCAACAAGAATATAATTTTTTTTAAAAAAAAGTATTTGTAATGATTGCTTTCTACCTTAATATATGAAAATAAATTTTTATTTATAATTTTAATAATTATATGTGTAAATAAATTTTTTTATGATTACAGATAAATAAAAAAATTATATTTATCGTTTTATTGATGAATTTTTTTTTTTATATAAGAGATTTTTATTTTCAAAGTGTCGTCCTGAGCTCTTAAATTATATGTGCAAATAATTTTTTTTATGATTACAGATAAATAAAAAAATTATATTTATCGTTTTATTGATGAATTTTTTTTTTTATATAAGAGATTTTTATTTTCAAAGTGTCGTCCTGAGCTCTTAAATCGCAAGACCGGCCCTGCCAAAGTATGAATCTGAAAAAAATAGTGGCCAATGGAGACTCATTCTTGAGATCAGGCAAGTCAAACTAGAGCTTGGTGGATCATATGGTAGTCTACAATGATCATTGTGATTCATCGAAACATGTGTGATGTCAGAAAAATAAAAATAAAAATAAAAATAAATAAATAAATAAATCTAAATTTTTGTCAAATTTTACCGTGCATGTTACTATTTTATACAGTACACATTGAGGGATTGTTTGGTTTGTATTTGAGAAATATATTTTGAGATAAAAAGTACGAAAATTTGTTTAGTTTGTTTTTTTCAAAAGATGTTTTGAAAAATTATTTTGAGAGAGAGTTTTAAAAAAAGTGATTGATTTGATATGTATGAGAGAGAGATTTGTTTGGAAAACTTATAAACCAAATAAGTTTTGGAAAAAAATTTTGAAAAAATTTGTTTGATTTGATTACTTTTAAAAATTTATTTGTAGAAAATTTTTTTCAAAATTTTTTGAGAAACACAAACCAAACAAGGCCTTTGTGTTTATTTTCTGGTTCAAGCTTCCAACTCCCTGTCCCATCCATTTATTGATACGGCCATACGGTCACAATTTGAATTTTATGTAATTTATTTAAGTTTTAATTAACAATCTTTAAGTGACAAAAGTAAGTTTTGAATAACACTACAGGCTATTTATTTATTTTTTTCGACAAAGAAAATAATTTTATTAATAAAAGAGAAGGGAATTTTGAAAAAAAAAAAGCATCATCACCTAAACAATAGATTCCAATTAGGTTGGCAAGGAAAGTAAGGCTAATCATGTGTGCAGCCCAAAGCAACAAAACAAACCCCAGCTGCAGAGCAAAGCAGCAGCAAGGAACAAACAAAACCAGCTGCGGAACAAGCAAACCCAAAAAAATAAAAAAATGGAAATAAAGATCCAAAGCCAATGCATGAAGAAATTTTGGTCCCACCTATAACCCTTTGATCTCCTATATTTTTATGACAAGGGGATGAAATTTCATTTATTTGTTATTGAATGGATATATATCTCCGGGCTCGGTTGGAAAGCGATTGTTTTAACTAATTTTTTAATTTTTTATGAAAAAATGGACAGATAAACTAATGTGACACAACTTATAAGGGCAAGAGTTAGATCATGAGAAAGAGAGACAGAGGGGAAGAGAGAGAAGAGAACCTGCTAAAGAGTGAAGAAGGGTGGACTTGCCAGAACCAGAAGGACCCATGATAGCCATGATCCTACCAGGCTCAGCAAAACCAGTAAGTCCATTTATCAACCTCTTTGTGTGTCCATTCCCAAAGTTTGGAACCACCACCCTCAGATCTTCCCACACCAAGTACATTCCTCTCTCATCTCCACCACTTAATCCCACTACTCCCTTCTCCATATCATCACCACCACACTCATCTTTGCTTGCTACCTCTATCTCCATTCTCTCTCTCTCTCTCTCTCTCTCTCTCTCTCTGACTCTTCAGTTTGAAACAGTGTGTGTATATCAATACAAAACACATAAAAAGGAATGAAAGAGCAAAGTCTCTGGCTATCTATATATAGGGAGAATTACAACACAGTGAAAATAAAAAAATAAAAAAAAAATTATAAAAATATGTGAAGTATAAGTGATTCTGTAATGAAATGGAAGTGAAATGGTGTAGTGTAACTGCCACCGAACCTTTGGATTCAATGCTGTTATCAAAAGAGCCTACAGCACGTTCTGTGAACCTTTCTGTGTCTTTTTCTTTTTCTGATCAAGGGCAAGCCTCCCATAACTGCACTCTAACAGCTACTATATATGTCCACTAAAAATTCATTTGGGAGACTCCAACTGAACCCACTTAATACCATTAATTACCTTTTTAATTCTCAAAAGTATATATTATTTGTATCATTTTGATATTGGTGGTGCTACACACACCAATTAGTGTATACATTAGTATACTAACTAGTGTTATGATATTATTATTGAATGCATTTATTATACAAGTTACAAATATCCAAAACCATACAAATGATGCCACATCATCAGTTAGTACACTAGTATGTATATTAATCGATACATATAGCATTATTCTTTTGATATTCAATATTTTAAATTGTATTAATGCATAAAAAATATCTGATAAAAAAATGTTTTAACTTGATCTCTCAAAACATCATTAAAATTAAGGAAAATAATAAATATGGGAATTCACTAGAAAGCATTACACTTTTTTACACTTTTAATCACAAAATGTGTAATATGTGTCATTTAGTGTCCAAAATTACATATAACTCTCATTTTTAACTGTCTATTGACGGAGTTAAGTTATGAGATCAAATTAAAAAAATATTTTATATATTGGGAACTAAATTAACACAAGTTATGCACTAGGGATCAAAATTACACAAAACTTTTAATTTAGGGATTAAAAATGTATTCAATTCAAGTGAGAAAAAAAAAAAGAGTTTAAAAGAACTTATTCTTTAGTTTTTCAATAATCAATTTTTGTTAAATTTATTTAAGTTATTCTTTAGCTTGTAAAGTTTTGCATAAAATATTTTGTAGGAACTTCCAAAATTATAAAAATCATAAGCAACCTATATAGGACACACCAAACAGAGTCATTTACTTGACACAACAGGGAAATTATGCTATACATACTTTGAAAGGAGTGTATCATATGTATTTTTAGTTTTGTCATTTTTTTATTTAGTTATAATTAATTTTTTTCTTTAGTTATGATTTATGAGATTTTTTAATTATGCCTCATGTGGTGTTTTGTTATAATTTTTTTTAATAATAAATCAAAAAATATAAAATTATGTCATTTTCTTTTTTAATTATAAGATACATATGACCTTTCCTGACACAGCGACATTTTATTCATTAAGTCACTTTTAGTATGTCAGCTAAAATCAACTAAAATATATCTCAAAAAGAAGAAGAAGAAAAAAAAGCTCTCATTCCTGAAAATTTTGTTTTTAACTCACTTCATAAGATAAAATATTAGATCACTAGTACTTGAAAAAAGAACCGTGCTAGGGAGCTCGAATTTGGAGCCCCCGAATCCCCCGAATCAACCAAAAATCAAGAGAAGAAGAAGAAGAAGGAAGAAGAGAAGGAAGAAGAAGAAGAAGGACTAGAGGGGGCAATATCAACTGGGCGGAGGTGGAGGCAGAGGCAGAGGCAGAGGCGGAGGCAGGGCGGAGACGATCGGCCGACGAGCTGCGATCGGCCGGCGAGCTGCCACGAGCGACGATCTGCGATCTGCGATCGGCATCCACCGTCGCTCGCACCGCCATCACCACACCCACTATCACACCCGCCATCTCTCTCTCTCTCTGTTTCCCTTCTCTCCTCCCCTCTCTGTTTCTCCCTCTCTTCTCTCCTCTGTTTCTCCCTCTCTCTCCCTCTGTTTTAGAAAAAAAAATAAAAATAAAAAATAAACTGTCCAAAACGATGTCGTTTTGGATAGTCGGGGGATTCGGGGGAGGAACTTTCGAGCTACAAAACATTTTTCTTGAAAAAATTGACCGTTCCTTTTATCTTTACAGTGTGCCTATTATGTATTTACCTTTGCATTGATTCTATAAAATATTTGTGCTTTCAGAAATGTTTTTTAAAAAAAAAAAAAAAAATTATTTCTTAGACAATATAGTGGAGATTTATGAAATTTTTATGAATGATGTATTATTTATTAAATTTAGATGATTATGACATTTGAATATTATTTTTTATATTAAGTTAGTGTTGTTGTGAATAAAAATTAACAATTAAAAAGTATTACATAAAAAATATTTATTATAATTTTTTGCCATATTTAAAATTTTAAAAGCATCATATTCCGAATGCATTGAAATGGCCGTGTCTGTGTCCATTATAATATAATACTAACGTTTCATTTGTTCAGTGAAATTTTATTTTAAAAAATATTATCTATATTTTTTGGTGAGAAAACGAATGTCAACAAGAAAAATATTTTTCACAATTAACGAAAAATAAATTTATTTGAGCAAAACATATTTTTACTTTTGAAATTGCAGAATTTTTACTAATATCACAAGATTACCATCATCACTACCACTTTCACCCAGGCTCGTCTCTGAGATTTCCGGGGCCCAAAGTCAATAATCAATTAATAAATTTTTGGGACCCTTCATATTTTTTTTTTTCATTGAATGAAAAAAATGAAGATAAAAGACAAAAAATTTGTGTCGAAATCACAAAAAATACTTAGTATTACATTACAATAATTAATAAGTGTCGCTTGATTCTCGCTCTTCTTGTATTTTTAGAAGCAAATAAATCAATCATACTTGCATAATCTAGTTTTTTTACAAAATCATTTTCAATGGATAACAATACTAATTATTTTAAATGGGCCTTTCAATTTTTTAATGGGCCAATTTATTTTAAGTTAGTTTGGGTCATCCTTAATTTTTTTTTTGTGTATTTAAAATATACCTAATATATTACAATAAACTATAATAGGAGGACCCTTTTTTGGGTCTATTTTCAATGGATAAAAATGTTAATTTTTTTGAATGGGGCTTTCAATTTTTTAATGGGTCAATTTATTTTAAATTAGTTTGGGTCTTCTTTAATTTTTTTTTTAATTTTTTTAAACTTAAAACATACCTAATATATTACACTAAACCTAATAGAAGGGGACCATTTTTTGAGTCTATTTTGAGGAGTCTTAGGCCATGGCCTTGTTGGCCCATGCCTAGGGCCGGCATTGCCTTCACCACATTACCACCACCCCACCATCACCACCACCACCACCATAATTTTTTTGAATGGGGCTTTCAATTTTTTAATGGGTCAATTTATTTTAAATTAGTTTGGGTCTTCTTTAATTTTTTTTTTTAATTTTTTCAAACTTAAAACATACCTAATATATTACACTAAACCTAATAGAAGGGGACCATTTTTTGAGTCTATTTTGAGGAGTCTTAGGCCATGGCCTTGTTGGCCCATGCCTAGGGCCGGCATTGCCTTCACCACATTACCACCACCCCACCATCACCACCACCACCACCACCTCTACCAACTCACCACCACTTCTACCATCCAACCATTACCTCACCGTCACCACCTCTGCAATCCTACCACTACCACTACTAGCGATGGCAAAATACCTTACTTGTCGGGTCTCTAACTCTCTTCGATCCTAATGGAATGAGTTTGGGGGTGGTTAAATAGGGTATGGTCAGATTTTGAAAAATATTTAAACAATCTAATTGGGTTAGAATCTGGGATAATATTTTTTTACTTGCCTGACCTGACCCGCATATATAGTAATAAATAAATAATAGTGTTATATATAATATGTGCATAATATATTGTTGAGTTTTTATAAAATATATATATACATAATATGTACAATGTATTATTAAATTTTTATTATGTTTTATATATATATATATAATACAGCTTTAATTATTGAGTTTCAATATTAAAACTATAATATATGTACAATGTTATATAGTTTTAATTATAAATATCATTTTATAGTTATAACTATTGAGTTTTTTTTTTTTTTTGGTGAATATAATTATTGAGTTTTAATTTTACTATTAAATTTCTTATTATATTGCGCATCGAATCGGGTAGCTTTAGGTTCGGGGTTGGGGTTAGGGTCAGAGTCAAGGTTGAAGGTGGGGTAAGGGGAGCCCAACCCATATCTTACCCATTGCAATCCCTAACCACAACCACTTCCATAATTCCATAACTACCATCTCACCATCACCTCTACCACTGATGCTACCACATAAGTCGCAACCAAATATAAAAAATATTTTTATAATTTTTTTTTCCAAAAAAGTTTTCTTTTAAAACAAATAGAGTGAAAAATTATTTAAAAGAGAGAATTGGGATTAAGGTTAAAGTCCAACACTAAGGGGTAAATCTTTTAGTCCTATGTGATCTCCAAGGAAGTGGTTTGGGTTTGCTTATTCAGTGATTTTTTTATTTTTTATGAAAAAATATATACAAAAGTAAAAAAATAATGTGATAAGTTATAATAAATAAATAAATAAATAAGTTACTTGTAATTGTTGCCAAACCACCCCCGGGTTTGAACATTGCATGCTTCTCAAATTTAGGTTATAAATTTTGTTGTTATTAAATATATTTTATAAGTTTTCATACAAATGATACTTAGAAAAGAAAAAGGAAAAAAGAGCAGCACATATGAAAAGGTTAAAGCATTTAATTGGTGCCAGCAGCATTGTACTTGAAGGGAAGGGATATATCATAAGAAACGCTATAATGCCAGATTGGGCCTTTGGTGCAGATGACATAAGTTTATAATTTATTTTATTGTGAGGATTTGTGTTTGATTATTTTGTATAATTTATTAGAACAAAATAATTTAGATAAATTAAAAAAATGATTATTTAAAAGTTAGAAGAGAGTTGTTTTCAATTTTTAGAGACAATCACAAGAAAAAACTCTAAGATTTTAGAGATAATTGTTGAAAAGTTCAAGTTAAGAAGGATATAAAGCATTA